ATGCATTAGTCAAAAGCCCACAAAAGAATGCCAACGCAAGAACACTACTATAGGATGCATTTGTTAGTCAAGTCACTCAGTCTGTATGTTCCATTCTGAAAGTAAATATGTACAAGTGCGCACTCTCTCACAGGCATGAGCTGCATGAGCAACAGAAACAACTACACTCGCTCACTGCCCTCAAACCTGTGGTGACCCGATGTCTCGTCACCAAGTACCTTCTATTGTTGGCCCCAGCGTGAAATTTTATTGGAGATGAGCAAAGAAAAAGGAAGTCTGAGTAAGCACTGGATTTCAGGTCATTGCAAAAATAAAGGTATACTGTTTCCTAAATATATGAAAAGTACTGTATTCTTTCTATAGGCTTTAATGAATTATTCAATTAACTAGGATCATAAAATCTTTTAAAAGGAACAGTTATATCCAAAACAACTGTAATACTAAGATAGAGTATAACTGTATGCTGAGTCTGCAAATATCATTGTGAGGTTTTATATTATGAGAAAGTCCTTGGTATACATATACAATTAAACCTTGTTTAATGTTGGGACTTAGGTTCTGTGAAAAAGAAACCAAGTATGATTTCCATTTTACACAAGCTATATATCTTACCTAGAATTCATCTCTCTTCACCACCATTGTTACTATAACTTTCTAGTGGTTTGAAATGGAAAATATAAGCTCCCACCCCCCAAAAAATGCTTAGTACAGAGGCCAAGAACTGCTAAAGAAAATGCTTTTCTTGCTCTTTACAAAAAATGCCTTGTGATCAACTTGTTAGGTGTATTTGTTTGGCAACAATGAACCTTTAGCATCAGATGTCATGGCTATACTGGACTATATTACAGATGACATGGCATCATGACATAGTTTGTACCATTCAGCTATTCAGAGTTTATCTTCCTCTGATAGTAGTGGTACCATTTACTTGGCCTCATGGTTAGATGCAAGGGAAGCCTTAATTTTTTTTTTTAAACATTTGCTTATAATCACCAGCTGAGAATGATTAGATTCCCAAAGTAGGGGTTAAAAAAACAAACAAGACAGGGGCAAATGGGCAAACTGCCAATACAAGTAATGGCTGAATTAGAGAGTTCATTTATCCCCTGTTGCTGGACTAATTAATTTGTTAACCTGTTAATACAGCCATCTAGTTGCATTATTTGATAGCACTGCATGATTTTTTATCTACAACAATATTCTTCTTATATTTAAGCAAATATACTTCAGTTTCTGAAAGAGCTACAGTTTTCTCTATCCTATGCTTGGAAGCTTAATAAAATGAGATGGTTTGCTTATCTGATCCCTATATTGTGTAAAAGGGAAACAACATTAACATGTGCAATGTTAAACAAGGTTCAAATGTATATACACAAATTTACTCAATTTCCTAAATACAGACTTCATCACTGCTTGGTTGTCTGAGAACTCTTAAATATAATTATGTCTCTACTATCATCACAACACCATATACTGGATAGAGCAATGAAATTAAATCAACCCAATGCTGATGGGTAACCACAATGTCTACTGTCATTTTCTTTGTGAATTTTGTTTACACACAGATGCCTCCACAAGTGCTCAGCCACAGAGGAGCCAATTAGTAGGCCAATGTGATCTTACAGGAATTCTCCACTCCTTGACTTCACAAGATAAATATTTAATTTCTAGTACTATTAATATCACTGCTATTATTCTTGTTGCTAACATTGTGATATCATAATGATATTGGCAATACTATTGTAATAGCAATAAAAACATTAAAAGAATCTTCCTCAAGTCTAAGGCAGATGGTAAACAGGTGATCAAACATTTGTGGAACCATCTATGTATAAAGCCAATCAAATAAACAGAAAGGTACAGTGGACAAAGCTTGTATTCTTGCCATCCCAGCAACATTAGTTAAGAACAAATACTCTATCTAAAGGAAAAATAGTCCTATTCTTTATTTCTGGCGAGGACATTTCAGACTGACCTTGCACTGCACTTAGGGAACAGTACATTAACATTAAATGATGTATCATAAAATGAAAATTGTCAAGTAAGCTGTTCTACATGTCTGCAGGTAAAAAGCTAGTAAAATCACCATAGCCTCCTTATTTAATATCTGTCTAGAAGCCATGCCTTTTTACCACAGCTGAGCTGATTGGTTAATATATGATGTTTGTTTCACTTCAGTTTTATCATTTCTGTACAATATCAGATATATCAAGCTTCCATAAACTTCCATAGCCCCTACTGGGCTCTATTTTTATCCCAAGAAAGCAATCATGTTTAAAATTTTTTAAGAATCTTCTCCATAGTGTTAATGCTTTAAAATCATTAGTATGTTTATGCTTCCCAATTTTAGCTTCATCATACAGAAGTTTATACACTATCTGATTATAAACTTTGAACAAACAATGTGTGGATATAGGGATAACTTTAACAAAATCATATATCAAACTCAATGCCTCTATGCTGTCCATAATGCTAAAAACTCCTTGACTATACATAAACATGGTGGCACAGCACACATGAGCAACCAGAACATTTATGGATTTCAAACAGACGTGCCACAACAGGCCGATGACTGCATGACAAGATGGCTATAATGGTGACATGACATATGTCTTGAGTGAGATGGTAATTTTCATTATGGCATCACATGTCATCCAGAGGCATAGGGTTAACTTATCACAGGACAAGGTTTTGGCTTCTGGGCAGATACAAAATAAGGTGACTACAGGAACATGACACAATTTTTGACTGTAATGCATTTCCAAACAATATCTGAAGCAGATCTAATTAGAACTGGACTTATAAAATCATATCAAACAGAAGTCTATAAAATAAATACCCCTTCTTAATGTGGCTTTCCCCTCATTCAAAGCCTATTCCTCTATATACAGCACTAATGAGACATAACTCTGTTAGCTTACCATCTGCTGTCTGTGGAAGAAGGGTCTGGATGATCTGCGCTTGGCCTGTTTGATTCCGGTAGAGGAAACACTGGAAGCAGTAGAGGACAGCACAGCGCAGGATGAAGGGCTGCTTGTCATTCACCATTGACATTAGCAGGACTACAATAGCTGGTCTGCAGTGCAAGGCAAAAATTTGAAATACTTTATTAATAAATTAATTACTTAATAAATATACCTACATATGTAAGGTTCATATATATCAATAGTTATTTATTCATTCATGAACAAAAAACACACACACACACATACACACACACTCTCTCTCTCTCTCTCTCAAATACAGAATACATATGCACATATACAAATTTTCCTTTTTTATGAATATAAAAGAGTACTTTTATCAAAAGAGTATTTTTATATCAAACACATACATGTATTTTACTATGTTACTAGTTATGTCCTGGGAAGGAGAGCAAAAAGAAAATGCATAAATGGTTATGAATATACATGTATATATGCATAATCTCTAAACTGGGATATTACAAAGTAAACTAAATAATTCAGAAACACAACAGGTTCTCTCCCTCTCGATCTTTACACACACATATGAATGCATACACAAACACACACACACAACCTTGGTGGATTTGAGGGAGCCATCATATCTGCAAAGAACTCCTGGTTTTGCTGATTTCCCCTTATCATATCAGCCACTGTAGTGATGGTGACAGTGAGGATGTCAACAGGTACACCTGTGGCCATAAGGAGACCTGTGAGTGCCTGAAGGAGGCCACACTGGTTCATCACCTTCTGGCAGGATGTTACCACCTGTGCTGAGTTCTGTGGGGCCACCAGTGTCTGCACCAGCTGTTTGGAGATAGGATTTAGGACTTGCTACCAATTCCTGTATTTCCTTTAAGCAACTCTTTAGTGACATAAAAATTTGAACATATTTTCCAAATCAACTGAATTACAACTCTATAACATATTATTACAAAAAAACAAAAAACAAAAAACAAAATGACAAATAATGATTATAATTAATAGCAAAGAACAAAAAAAGAGGAAGTGACTTACCTGGAGCATATAGTGAATATTGGTTACTTTCTGTGCTGACCATCCATCTTTGGCATCAAGAGGGATTGTGAAGAAGGAGGTTAACCGCTGAATGTAACTTCCTAGGATGAAAAGGGGACAGATTATTTACTATTGAATTTGGTAGATTATACTTATATACATTACCTATATCATGCATCAGATCACAGTAAAAAAATTACTTTTTTTCAAATTAATTTCTTGACGTTATGTGGCAGGATCTCAATAGTATCATATTGCTAATTTATCTATATCTACTACTTCCCACTCCTAAGAAGAAGAAAAAGAAGAAAAAATATCTTTAACTAAAAGTTCAACTCATCTAGTAAAACCATAAACATCAAGTTCCCTGAGTTCCACCTAGACCTGCATTTAATCACACTTTTCACTTACCCTCCTTGAAAAATGTCTGATTGGATGGATTGTTCCGGAGCAGATTGAGCATTAGGATCAGGCAATCTTCTACTACGACACCACCGTCAGCATAACCTTCTTCTCGGATGATGTCAAACAGGTGGTCGTGGGCATTCTCAAAAGCTACTATCTTCTGGAGGTTGGTGTTGCTCTTGGTTAGCTGAGTTAACAGCAACAGAGTCTACAAGAAAACAAAACAGAACTAGAGGAAAAGCTGAGATACCCAGTATTACTCTTCATTAAAAGGTATCTATTCTGATTTTCAGTAAAATGGATCCATGTATACATGTAGCTAATAAGGGCCTAAAACATTTACAGATGAAAGAAAGAAGGAAAGAAATGAAGAAAAGAAAAACAAATACATATATTCAAATGCCACATAACTGGAAACAGGATGATCCATAAATCACACAGGTTGACTTGATCATAACTGTATGGCTTATCATACTATATAGATGTACTCTATCTTGGATTCATGAGCAGGTATTTTAACCAACTTCAAAAAGACCTCTCATTAATAAATATAACTTAAGCTAATGAAAGTCTCACATCATTTCTGATAACTTCACGGCTGTCAGAAAGCTGGTCCATGAGCTTGGAAACTCCACTTGGAATCACAAGTATAACTTCCTGTAGGTCTTTGGGTCTGAGAATGTGAGAGAAAAAAGCAGAATGAGACACACAATCTAAAATATTAAGGCTTTTCACTGTTAGGAATTTTCATCTTTTCTATCCACTTCTATTCTATTACTAACCACTATATCATTTCTGAAAAGTAGGAATGCATGCATAGCCTACATGAAGAAAACTTCTTTAAACCTTCAAACACACTAATCTATTAGATACATTGGCTACTTCTAGGGTAAAAAAAATGCATGGAGCACTGAAAAACTCACAAAAATTCCCTACCTGTTTTTAAGTAGGTTTGTGAGCAGCTTTATCGTTGGATATCGCACTTTGAAATCAAACTCATCCAGTAAGGAGACCAGGAGGGCGATGTTTTCCTGTCGTTTAGTGAGGATTTCTGTAAACTGTTCCCCTATCTCTGATGATTGATTTTCAACAGTGGTTTCACTGTCCTCTACAAAAAAAATGGCACAGAGAATTTGTTTATTTTTGTATAATCATCGCAGTTATATCATTGATAATTGACAAGAAATTAATATTCAAAACATTATTGCTACTGGTACTGACTGATAAACTGTTGCCCATAATTTTCCTAACTCACAATTAGAGGACCAATAGAAACAAAATTACACACCTATACAGGTATGCATATAACGAAATGTACTTACCAGTTTCTTCAGGGAAGACCTCTGGAGCTGTAATGTTTACTAATGTTTCTAGTGCATAGTTGACTATCTCATGGTCATTCCTATCAGACTCCAGAACCTGAAAGAAAATATGTGAAGGTCCACTGTATAAAAATCAGTCTATTTGGTGAGGAAATGCTTTTGAAAACAATGAAACTACACCACCTACAGTATCAACCTTTAACTTCCTTCTAGGGAAAGGCAGGGAGTATTTGGATACATTTAGAATGTGAGGACTTGGCCATATTTCCTTAAAGCTTAAGAGAGGAATGCTTCTGAGATGCTGATGCGCATCCCCCCCCATATATATATATATATATATATATATATATATATATATATATATAGAGAGAGAGAGAGAGAGAGAGAGAGAGAGAGAGAGAGAGAGAGAGAGAGAGAGAGAGAGAGAATGAGTGAACGTTTCAGTCTGAGACTGACTGTTAGACAGTGCAAGAGAGAGAGAGAAAATGATACGCTGCACTCTATAAGTATGCTTCACTGGTAGAGGAACTATACTCAAGTGGGTGGAATTACACTTTGTGTGCTGTTTAAGTGTTTCTTTATTTTTTCTCTCACTATACAGAAAATATATAAATTTCAACACAAATGTTTTCACAAACCTGTAATAATGAATCCATGCCGTGTGCTCCAACAAGCACCCTATATTTCCGTGACATTGCCTTGAGAGCTCGGCAGCCATCTCTTCTGTCTTCTAGCAAGGTGGATGACTGAACACGATCAATAAGCCGGTCAACCTGAAAATTAGCAGAACAGAATTAGAGGACGAGTGCAGTGATATATGATGAGCAGAAGTCCTGATTACATACTGTATATATTTTATGAAATATACCTAGTATATAAATTTATTCTATACATAAGCTGTTTATCACTAATAATAAAAATTACATCATAGAGCCTACTATAGAAATTCTATAAAATCACTTAAAATAAAAATAAATCATGAAGTTCACCTAACAGCTGCAAATAATTCTGGCATACTATTTATATCTAAGCTAAAATACCCACTACTTAAAGGAAGTGGTTTGAAAGATGAAGTAATCATCTTTAGTAAGATCTGAGAAAACTGTGGAAGATTTAAAATATGTAATGACTTTGTAAAAGATAATCCTTCTCTACTCCTATTTAACATGAACAATTATTTTGACAATGCAACTCTAGCCACTCCTCAGCCTTCACTGATTAAATGGGTAATGAAAGATAAAAAGGAAACTCTATTTTTAGTTTCTCTACAAAATTACCATACCTTGGTTCTGGCCTTTGCACTATCAATTAAATGAAAAATAGTTGATTTGAAAATGATCTGGGGAGATTCACTCCTATAGCTCCCCTTGTCTTACTAGTATAATCTCAAATTTCTATGTAAAGCGTAAAGACCCTAGACTAAGACACTTTGGTGGGACGTACTCATATTATATAAGGGGTTCTGCCGCTTAATGTCCCTTCAAAGTGGGGCTACTATTTTCACCCTTTGCTTAGCGCAAGAAATATTCGCCTCATATATTCTGACAGGAATAAGCCTGGCAAATAACTGTATTTTCCACTGATTTGGAAAATTGTTTACATTATGCAATATTTCCAAAAAAGGACAGATCGTCAGTTGTTGGGATCTTCCCTGTCATTGTTAAGGGAAACTGGAATCACTATCTGCCATTCCTTGTCATTAATTCATAAATACTTTGCAAAGGAAGCAAAAAACTGCCTGCCTACTCTTCAATTCAGTTTCTACTGGGATGGGATTATACATAACAATTCTA